CCCCAAAACCCCAAAACCCCAATAGAATAAATGTAGAAATTTTAAGGTTAGTTTAAAATGAAAGTATTGAATTGTACTAATGCAGTTCTGAATCCAAAATTGAAAATTAAAAAATATTTTATAATAATAAAACGAAAGCTTTATGCTCTCTGAGATATAAAATTCAAGCAGTTAAAACTCCTTCTCTATCACGAACATCATAAAAGGAATTGAAAATAAAATAATCGATGCAGATGTGTATGGGTATGAGATCAAACTATAGTACAAAGGATAAACTAAAAATAAGACCTTATTCGGAGGAATCTTGACATTTTTAACCGTTTTCTTGGTTTTAAGTTACTTCAGTCTCCAAGCAAGAGAGGTAAACAATGACTCTAACACAGTAAAATCTCTAAGTTCATCGCAGGACTTTAGCTCTTAATCTTTTAATATTACAACAAAGAACTTCGATTTTGCATTGAGAATTTAGAGAATGATAAGTAATGAGACATAGATTGAGAATTTTATCAGATTTTTTTCTTTCAAAGCTTTTTAAAAATAAGAATAAACTACCAATAACTAAAATACTGGTGCTGTTACCTTTTTCCCACAAAATATACCAATAGATTTAGTGAAATGCGATGATAGTAGATTAATGGGTGATTCAGTATATTAGAGCGACCTATAAATTTACAGGAATAATCTTTGGCTTTGTCTGACCAAAGAATTCAACTTACTCGTGGATAAGTCAAATTTCTAATTTGGAATAAGTATTGAAAAGTGCAGTTAAAATGAATTAGATTTGAAGTATCCTGGTCTGAAATGTGATAAAAACTAAACCTTAATCAATATGTTTTAACAGAGCACGAACATTTACTTGTATAGTACAAACAGCTTTTTTGACATCTTCGAATTCTAAAACGATCCCGTAAAAGTTATAATAGATGAGAACAGTTTCAAAATGGTACCTGGATCTACTAAAAATATCAAGTATCGCTTAAGTTATGACTAAGCAAGAGGGAGCACATCTAAAATGATCGAAAGTCTTGACAAATTTAACTATAGGTTTCTTTCAAGTGAATTATCCAGCGAAACAGCAGATAATTCTACAAGTTAGGACTAGTTCATTAAATTTGAGTTTATTATGAGCAATCAACTATCCATTACTGAAAGAATAAATAAAAACTTTCTAGGAGCTCTATCTCAAACAGGAGGAATCATGAGTATAGTAGTAGCATTTTTTACAATCCTATCCAAAGGAATATAAGAATTCTTGTTTTATTCAAGTATTATTGCTTCCATTTTCATGACAGAGAAGTAATAGGATCCTAAGAAAGAAAAATTAAGCTTTAAAGAGAAAATTCTAGCAGCATAAAAATCCCAATAGAAACACTATTCACTTGAAACAGTGGATGATCCAACATAATTAAATTCAGCAAGAAATTTGACTAATTCGCGTGCACTGTAGGAGCAAACAATTAGAAGTGGTGGATCAGTCAAGCAAAATCGTAAAAGTTTCTCTGATAAGATAAAAGGTTGGATTCCTTAGAGATTCAAGAGGTAAATGACCTTTGAAATCAATGATAATAAGACAACTATAGTTCATAGTAAGGAAACAGAAGCAAAATAATAGAGCATAAGAGATTTTGAAAATAATATAAATGCTCCCTAGACTGTTAGGAATAATAATATCAATGATCAAGTTGATGAGTAAGTAGTCAGAGCAGAATATTCTCTAAAATAGGAAAGATTTACAAATCTAAGTCTTAACGAAGCAGTCATAAATACGAAAAATATCAGTTAAAATCACATTGATAATTAGGATTTAAATGAAAATGTTTTAATTCAAGACAAGCTAAATTAACTAAATGTCTACGAAAATTATTTATCCCTTAACAATACTCAGGACTATTTGAATGGCAAGTTTTCTGAGATATCTTAACATGCATAGTTCAAAGATAGATTAAGAATAGAAAATGAAAATATGAATGATAATGAGATACTCTAAGAATACATCAAACAAGAATAAAATCAGAACAACTTCATTTGCTAATTTACATCACCTAGAGGGTGTTTTTAACATCAAATTAATTTGGAGGAATATAACTCCTAAAGAGTGACTTAAAATAATAGCCCTGAAAGACTGATTTTATCTAATTAGGACGAGGATAAATAGGAATGTGATTCTAGTAAAAAGTTGGTAGATGATTAAAATCTCATAGAAAGCCAGACTTAGCCAAAGAGATCATTTATTGAAATTCTTAAGAAGTAAATCTCAGCACAAGCAGATAATTAAAATTCAGCAGCTAATCTCTAAGACATACATTAATAAGCAGTAAATTAATAAGAATAAACCCTTAAAATTGAAAATTAAAATAATTATGATGCTTAGAAGTCGAATGAACACTCTACTTTAGCTAGAGAAAGAGCAGATAGTGAACATAAAAAATTTTAAACTCTTGGAGTAAAAGCTTATATGGCATTATTGACTGCAATCAAATATCGTTAATCTTTCATGTATGTCTTGAAAGAAGAGATAAAAGATTTTCTAAAAAACAAGTTTTGCTGTCGACCCAGAAGTAAGGAGCATAAAATGTATATGATTGGAAAGTAAAAAATAGAAAAGCAACTTGATATTTCTAATCTTATAAAGGAACTGAGAGTTTTGAAACTTGTGTCTAATGTTTATCTTAATAAGCATCAAAGAAAGCTGGTTCCATTCTTTAAAAAGAACATGCTGTCCTAAAAATTAAGCAGATAAGACATTAAAAAGCAAGAGCAAAATAGAATGCTAATGAAAAAACAAAACTATTTGCATAATGCATCAGATAATTTATTGGAGTTGTTCACAGATTGTAGAGCAGATAATAAGAAGAGTTAAAGAATACTTGATTGCCTTAATGGCTAGTCTTTCCCTGATGAAACTCATCAAAGAACTTTGAAGCAAAAAATGTTCAGAGGCATAATGAGAGAATATGCAGTTAATTAAGTTTTGAATCGATCTGAGTTTGATGTAGGCTTAGATAGATAAGACACTGTAGATCAAGAGGATATTGAGATTGATATTAGTCCATAGGGCCCTGAAACAGAATCTAATTCATTTGGTATTGAAATTGAAAGGGAAATAGGAATAGAGGGTAATGTTTAAAATTAGAGATAATTTGAGCTAATAACTTCGCTTAACAGATAAAAGTGATTAATGATATTTATACCAGCCAAGACAGAATTTGGAAGAAATCAATTATTATATAACTTTTTAAACTATAAAAACACTAACAAGTATTAAGAATTTCATTTTTAATTATCAGATTTTGTTAATTAAAATAAGAATCCGGGGTTTTGGGGTTTTGGGGTTTTGGGG